ATAGAAATAGTGAACACTTTTATCATACTTTGCTAAATCAACCTCCAAGTTGTCACTTTATGCTCCAATAGTGATCACTCCCAGTATACAACCTTGGATTCTTCACTCTTTATGTACGTATTTGCTACTTTCTTCTACTTTCTCTTCTTCAATCCCAACCTCCTAACTCTCAGCTCAAAATATTCTACAAAATTATATTCTAATAAGAAATTTATACCAAAAAATGCATAAAATTTAAAAAAAACTAAACTATGTAAAGGAAAATGAACATTTTAGCATTTTTATGGGATTTTCACCTCAATCAACTTTTGTCACGACTACTTTCCAAAAAAATCAATAACATTATATTATATATATATATATATATATATATATATATATTGTACAAATTTATCCATTGAAATAAAATCGATCAGAATATCCAATTCAATATGAATTATAGAAGAATTCAAACTCACCTTAATGGTGAAGTAAAGGCTCATGTGCATTCTCATAAAATTTAGAACCATATTTATCTATTGATAATTTATAAGTATATTCAAAAACTGCTAAGTATGGAGCTAAAAGTACAAACTTACAATATCTTCAAATATTTACAACTCATATTCAACTTTGTACTTAAATAGCTTAGTCTCACAACTAAGGCCTAGATTACAAAATTTTCAAAGAAAAATACTAATCCAAAAAGAATGTCACTCCACTCCTATCAAATCAGTACTTTCATTTCAGATCCATAAATCCCTAACTACAAAGAGTTTAGAAAGTCATTACAAAGTGAGAAGAGAAAGAAAAAGAAGGAGATAAGCAAAGAATCATCTTCAATTCAATCTTCAATCTGATTCCTAAAGATGTGAAGCTTGGTGTTCATCCCCAATCTCTCTCAGACTCTCTCAAGATGAGAAAATGAATAAAAAACAAAAAATGGCAAAAGATCCTAAATTTCTGAACTGAGTTTGTATTTATAATTTTTTCTGCCTTTTAACGTGTTCACTGTGAGTGCATAGACTGAACACATAGAAGGCCTTTTTCAATATTCCTAGGTTGAAGTAATAACTATAAGTGAATAAAGTGATCACTTTGTGCTATGTTTCCAAATTTTGGCATGCGCGTGTTCACTATGAATGCATAAAGTGAACACGCGCAACCCCTTCCAGACCATAGCTTCTCTTTAGTGAACACTCTATATGAAGAAAGTGATAATGCCCAGCTCTTGATGGTGTGCATGTTCACTTTGAGCGCTCAAGGGAGTAATGTGCACCCATATTCTGCTAAATAGACTTGCGCGTGTTCACTCTGAGTATTCAGAGTCTTTATGCGCAACTCTCTTTTTGGATTTAAGCTCTGAAATGTTCATTTTCACTAGAATTAGTGAACACTTTCGCTTGTTCCTCTGGACAAAGGCTCTGAAGTGTTCACTTTGAGTAGAAATATTGAACACTTTCACCATATTATGCTGAATTTACTCCAGAGTTGTCACTTTATGCGCATAGAGTGATAACTTTCAGAATACATCTTTAGATTCTTCACTTTTTAAGTCCAATTTTTCACTTTCTTCTATTTTCTTCCTTTGAATATCAACCTCATGACTTCTAATTCATATTTTCCTACAAAATTTTCATTCTAATAAGCAATTTATACTAAAAATCTATAAAATCTAAAATAACTAAACTATTAAAAGAACATTGAATATTTAAGCATAATTATAAATTATTTCTAAGGTACATTCCTGATTGTCCTTAAAATACACTCTAAAGTTTAAATTTACAATACGCATATATATATATATATATATATATATATATATATATATATATTCTCTAAATACATCATTTAACTTACTTCTTACAAAATGATCTACTATCTGAATTTGCCCTTGAGGCGTCGTCATCTTTATTTCCTGCAACATTGTGTAAGGGTGAGCTTCTATTTTACCACTCAAACATATACAAACATTTTTCATTAATTATCATAACATATTCATAATCATAAAATAAGATATCATTTCACATCATAATATTATATTATTTCACCACCCTACATTTTCTCCAGATATTTATATCGTCTCCAGACTCTATACCTCTAGTGTATCTATGTAATTATTCATACTAGATTCATCCAATTTCATACTCAGTCATATTTTATCTCAAAATCCAGCCACAAAGATCATGCAAATAATCACTTCCAGACAAATTTCACATTACTCATCATGTCAATATATGACTCTAATAATTAGGATATTCATTCTAATATCATCATCATCCTTTACATCATATATTAACAGTACAATATAAATATTTCACTTAATTAATCACAATATTACACTCAACATATTCAGAAATCATTAGTAAAATCGTTCAGCTAAGATATCGTTATTTTAAAATCTTATAAATTTTTAATTAATAAAATAATTCTATAAATTTTTATATAGAACTACTTGACTTTGAGTTATCCATTGCACTTAGGGATACATAAGAGCGAGAATCGCACCCGTTGAGTCAAAACAGTTTTCAAAAATAATTTCTTTCCTTTTCTAAGATATAACTTAATATTTTAAAAATAAATTTTCTTAGTTTAAAATAAAATTAGCAACACTTATTTTTTAAAAGTTAAATAAATATTTTTTAAAATTATAATAAATTTGTATAATTAATTTAAAATAATCGTTATTTAAACGGACATTGTAAAGTGCTAACACCTTTCCTGTATATAAATGACTCCTAAATCCATTTTTAGTTTCAAAGATCAAATTTTTAAATTTTTCCAAAATTTTTTTTGATAAACTTTGATAGCAACTCTCTTAATTTTTAAAATGTTTCCATCGTCTCATTATAACTGCCCGGTTGCAACACTAAATTTGAATTAGTTGGTTTGGTCTATTCTAAGATTTGTATAAATATGTCAACATATGCTAAGTGACAATCCCTTTTACATTTTTGCTTTTTTCTCCTTTAATTTTTTGTCTACAAGAAATCTAGTGTGGTTTAACTCTTTTCATGGGCCTGCGGACCATGGCGGGAAGTATAAGGTAAATTTGGACATGATAGAACATGAATAAGACTTTAAATGCAAGAATATTCTCATTTATTTTACTATATAATATGGATCAAGTTTTAGGTATAAATATTATTGTAATTAAAAATTTTACTAATTAAATTATCAATATTTAAGAAATTATAAATTATTAATAAAAATAATTTTAAATTTTTACTAGCAATAATAAAATCTAGTAAATGAATAAAAAATAAATTTTAAAATAAATTTTAATAGTCATTTAAATTGTCATTAATATTTTTTATTATAAATTAAAATTTTTAACGATAATAAATTAAATTTTTACCAGTATTTTTTATAAAAATTATTAATAAAACCATCTATAAATTACAAAGAGAGTAAAAATTTATTTATAAATTCATCTATATTATCAAAATCTGTTTTTAACTTTTTAAATATCCTTATGTAAATTTGATTGTATTTTTCGAATTTCTAATAGTGTCTCACGTTATTACAACTAGTTTAAGTAATATATGCAATATACTTGTATTTTATTTTAGAATATGTATATATAATTTAATAGTTAATAAAAAAATACTTTAAAAATAATTATATATAATAATTTATTTTAAACAATTTTTTTAAATTTTTTTAAAAATATTTTGATTTGAATTTAGAACTATAAATAATATGCATTAAAATGATAAATATTTAACAAAATTAAATAATTTTATGATATAATATATTTTGAAATAATAAATTTATTGTATAGTGTCAAAAATTTATTAAATATCAATAATCAATATATTATAATAACTATATATTTAAGAAAAGGGACCTCAAGGACAACAATTAATCATTTTATTTTTTTTTATGTCTTTTATACATCTCTTTTACATCTTCAATCATCTTGGTGTTAGTCATTGGTTGATGACTATGTGAGCTTTTGGAGCACGTCAGATTAAGAGCTCTCCTCTAATTTGCGTTTACTTTTCACTTATTATAGATTTGTTTAGAGTTATTTTAGTTTTCTTTTATATTATGTTTAGCTAAATTCATAGTTAGGGTTATGATAAATTTTTTACATGACTCTATAAAATTTATATAATTTATGATAATTTGTTTTTGTTCTTGAATTGTGTTACCTTATTACGCTATATTTATATATTAGAATTAAGAACTCTTAAACATATCATAATTAATTATATTGTTAGTAATCGTACCACATATAGTTAATAAATCTATAAGGTAAAATGAAATAAAGGATTAGGGGAACCAAACTTAGTTCTTCTCTTTCAATCTTATTAAATTAACAATTAATAAGTAATTTATGTTTTCTTTTTCTTTTTCTTTACATGATCATTAAGAAAAATAGTCTAGAAAAAAAAACTATTAACATTATATGATAATTTGATGTTAATAAATTTAGTATGAATGATTGACATTTATAGGGAGATCAGAATTAAAATTAATCTAAAAATATATATAAAGAAATATAAAGATAAAACTATACGTTCTAAGTTTTTGTCAATTAATTTATTATTAAAGGCTACATTATTTTAATTTTTCACTAATTAATTTAATATTTAAATTCTTGTTATATTTAATTTTATATCTTTTAAGTTTAAACAAATAAGTTAAAAATTTATTAATAATTAAAAACAATTTGTGTAACATAATAATTCAAAAACATATTTCTAAAATTTTTTATTATTTTTTTGGTGATATAATACATTTTCGTATTTACAATATGGAGGTTGATTTGGAATAATTTAAATGTAAGTGTGTTAAGTTTAATGGGTTGCATTTGTAACCCGACGGTAAAAGCATCGGAATGCGTGCGTGCGTGCGTACGTACTTTCCATTATTCGAAATCTAAAGGGACAAGGTAAGTAATGCTTCCAACCCACACACTCCTTCAATCCTCTCCCCATTCATCGTAATATATATCCATCCATCTTTCATTACTTTCACAATAGCTATTTTCTTGAGCAAAAGTAACAGTAACAATGGGGTTTAAAGAACTCTTTGTTTTGTGCATGCTTTTGGGGTTGTTTGGGTTAACAGTGGGAGGAAGAGTGAGACACTACAACTTTGATGTTGAGTATATGATTAAGACACCTGATTGCTTGGAACACGTTGTGATGGGAATCAACGGTCAGTTTCCAGGCCCAACAATCAGCGCTCAAGTTGGTGACACCCTTCACATTGCTCTCACTAATAAGCTTACCACTGAGGGAACTGTTATTCACTGGCATGGAATCAGACAGGTTTATTATTATTATTATTATTATCTTTTTAAATTTATTAAACTTATAACTAATTATAAAATATATTTTAAATTATATATCTAATAATTTTATTTATTTAATAATAATAATAATAGTATAATTATACGTACTAAATACTGACCTGAAAAAGATACTTACTATGTTTCACGTAATTTTGAAAGATTATTCTGTTAAAGATTATAATTATTTTAATATCTTAAAAATAAGAGTATATTAATTTTTTTAATTAAATTACTAATTCAATTATCTGATAATAAAAAATTAATGAGTTAAAATTGTTTCATATTTAAGAAAGAATATCAAACTCTCTCAATTAGCAAAATATAGTAGATTTTACCCTTAAAAAAACTTCTTTTTGTTTGTTAAATGTTTGCAGTTTGGAACTCCATGGGCAGATGGTACAGCTTCCATCTCACAGTGTGCTATAAACCCGGCAGAAACTTTTCATTACAGATTCAAAGTAGACAGGGTAATTTTATCAGTTCTTTCCCCTTTTTTTCTCATGTACGTGATAATTATAGTCTAAATACATTTTTTATTCACAAAATATAATGGTTTTTAAATTAATCTTTAAAATATTATTCATGTTATCATTTTAAAAATTACAAAAAATTGCTCTTTTAACATCTGCTGGTGACAATTTTATTAAACATAAAAATTAAAAAATATATAGTTTCAATATAAATTAAACAATTATTATATTTCAGCAGTTCAAAAACACATTTAACATAATCTATCTTGGTATATATCCTATCTTAATCATTGATATATTCTACAAGCACGGGTGACACCTCTTGCTTTGGGTTTTCTTAAATAAAATATAATAAAGTAAATAAATATATTATAGGTGAAATTTAATTAATTTTAATATCGAGAATAAAAATTGAACTTAATCACAATATTAAATATAATTTTTTATTTTAAATTTCATTGATTTTCAGTTTAATCAAAATTCATATATTATATAGTTTACTTTTAGAAATAAATATGGTCAATTTAACTGTATTCTGTATATCTGTCCTTTTAGTTTAAGTAATTTAGATAATGTAGATTTGTGTTAACTTAAGTATTTTAATTTTTAAAATTTAGTAAATATATTCTTCTGTTAATTTTCTTTTATTGATCTAACACTCTTAAATTCTCATTGCCAACTAAAAAATTTTATAAATTAAGTTTTTAAAATTGTTTTCTAACTAAAACTCGTCAATCAAAATATTCAATATAATTTTATCTAAAGTTTAAAAACATCTTAAAAAATTATTTCCTCGAACCTAATTTTATATTTTACAAAATGTTTCAAATTTTATCAAAATTTCACTGATTGTTTTATCCTAACAGATTATAATTTTTATTTCTTGTTATAATTCTCTTATAAACCCCCTTAATATATATATTTATTTAAAAAATTAAAAATTCAGAAAACTAAAAACTTGACAGAAGACTTTGCTTCTCTTTTGGTTTTTAACTTTAAAAATTATATTTTAAAAGAATTTTAAAAAATATTTTTAAGAAAATGAAAATAAAACTTACGTTAACCAACAAAATTTATTATATTTTACTTTTAAAAAGAAAAAACTGTTTAAAAAAAATAAACAAACTCTAAATTTGCATAAATTTAAAAATAAAAGAAATTATTTATCTTAAAAAAACTTTCAAAACCAAGATTATTTAATCTAACGTAAAGAGATAAAAGTTCAACTAAAAACAAAATATTTTTATATAAATATTTTTAAAATAAATATATATTTCACCATAAAAATGATCAAAAGATAATTTAAACTGCATTCGCACACTAAGATCATTTAAATTGATTATTTTTATATAATTACATGTATAATTTATTATAGTGAAAAAATTAGAAGATGGGAATAAAATATTTTTTTAAAATGATAAAAAAAATCAATTTATAATACTTTAAAATAAAAAATTCCAAAAAATAATTTGAAAAAACTACACTTATTAAATACATCTTTAAACTATAAACATTTATATTATTGATGGAGAAGAAAAAAGAAAGGATATTCCACTGATAAAATGAGAGTCTAAAATAAATAGAATAGATGCATCATATATTTATATAATATTATTATAAATTAGAGTAAAAAATAAATTTTATATAAAATACAATAAAATAAATAAATATATTGTATATGCAATTCAATTTAGTTTTAATATCAAGAATTGAAAATTAAATCAAGCTGTAATATTAAATTTCTATTTTATTTTCAATTTCATTGATTTTCAGTTTAATCAAAATTTATTTTGATTCGATTTTAAACACTTCTATGTAACACTCATGCTTTTCATAGTTTACTTTTAGAAATAAATATGGTCAATTTAGCTGTATCTCTGTAGTTTTTGTTTCTCTAATTTAGATAACGTATATTTTTGTTCACTTAAGTATTATAATTTTTAAAATTTAGTAAATGTACTCTTTTGTCAATTTTCTTTTCTCTTACACTCTTAAATGCTCATTGTCTACTAAAGACTTTTATAAATTAAGTTTTCTAAATTGTTTTCTAACTAAAACTCATCAATCAAAATATCAAATTTTACCTAAGATTTAATAAATATATAAAAATTTTATATTTTATAAAATGTTTCAATTTTTATGAAATTTTCACTAATTTTTTTACTCTAACATATTATAATTATTTCATGTTATAGTTCTCTTATAAACTCCCTAGATATTTATTTAAAAAATTTAAATTTCAGGAAACTAAAAAGTTGACAAAAGACTAAATTTGCATAACTTTAACTTTAAAAATTAAAAAAAAAATATTTATCTTAAATTTCAATACTAAAATTGTAATTATTCTAAAGTAAAGGGACTAAAAGTTCAATAAACATCAATATATTTATATAAACATTTTAAATGTATAGAATTGGGAGATGAGAAAAAAAAAATTAAAATGATAAAACATCAATTTATAATAATGTAGAATAAAAATACAAAATATTAATTTGGAAAAACCACACTTAATAAATACATCTTTAAACTATAAACATATAAATAGTAGTTCAATAATTTTATTTTGAGAATAAATAATACATAATTAACTTGTGCTATATTATGATAATGATAAATAATTGTAAGATAATATAATAGAAAACAAAAATAAAATTAACAGAAAAAACTTGGGCTATATTATGGGAAAAAACTATTTTATATTAAATTCAAATATAAAATCACAATACTAACTATTATGGATTAGACAAAAGAATGAAAAAAAATGAAGGAATACGTCTAAGGAGTAATATAGAGAACAAAAAAATTCTTATAACATACAGGTGATTTTAGTTTTCATAATTTTAATTGGTTATATTTATTTGTTTATTTTTTAAAATATTTAAATTAAGTTTAATACTCTAAAATTAAAACTTTTATTATCTTTTATAAATTTTGTATTTTTATTTAAATATTATATATGAATTTTTATTTATTTATATAAATTAATAAAATATCATACTTTTATTATATTTTTATCAATCGTTAAGAAAAATTGTAGGCTGTTGAACATTTGAAAAACTAATAATTAGAATTAGGGGATCAAAATTATATTAAATTATAGAGATCAAAAGTACAATTAAACCTAAATAAGTAAAAAGATAAAAAAAAAAAATGAAAAGACTTAACTACATTATAAAACCAAAAACTAATCCAAGAGAACAAACTGTACATGAAAAAACTTATATAAACCGTAAACTATTGATACATTTAAATTAAAATATATTCAAATAATAATAATAATAATAATAATAATAATAATAATAATAATAATAATAATAATAATAATAATAATTGATAAATTTAAGTTATTCCAGCAGATACTAATTAAATGGTTTAAATTATTGTAATAGATATTAATTAATTTAAAATTTTTTGTATTAATTTGTAATAATGTTAAAATTGATTGATTGTGTTTCTTCCCTACATAAAATCAGTTGACCTAATACTAATGTCTAACAATATTAATTAATTGATTTAAATATTTATTTGAATAAGTGTTTTAATAATCAATTGCTGAAATTAATTAATATAATAATATAGAAAATGCAATTACTGATGAAAGAGTAAATAAAATATTATTTTAAGCACAAATTGGAACTATTATATAGTATTATTACATAGATTAATTTGCTGTTCAATTAGAGCATAAGTAACTTTTTGGAGTAAGTGATTATATAGTGATGAGGGCTTGGGTGATATGATGCAGGCAGGTACATATTTCTACCATGGACACTACGGTATGCAAAGGGCAGCAGGGCTGTACGGTTCACTGATAGTGGACTTACCAAAGGGAAAAAACGAACCATTCCATTATGATGGTGAGTTCAACCTTCTGTTGAGTGATTTGTGGCACAAAAGTTCTCATGAACAAGAACTTGATCTCTCTTCCAAACCATTTAAATGGATTGGAGAACCTCAGGTAATTCATTAAACACAATTTTCATCTCTTAAATTTTTCCTTAACATACCTTAGTCAATATATTTAATGATTTTCAGATGTATATAGATATAGTAAAAACAACATTTCATAATTAATTGCTAATTGAGACCAATCACTTCAAATATCAACACATGTTTAACTACTCAATTCAACTTGTAAATATTTATTTTGAATTATTTATTTATTTTTTAAAAAAAAAACAATAAAAAATTTATCTAATTAGATGAGGTCGACTATATAGATTACACAGTATTATTATATTTAGTTAAAAATTAAATTTTTAGAAATTTAGTTAATCAAATTTTTTTTTAATAATTCTGTCTAAAATTATTTTGGGTCTGTTAACTTTTTCTACTAAAAGTTATATTTATATTTTTATAAAATTATAATTTTACTCCCTTCTAAAAAATAATTTAATTTTTTTTAAAATTTAACACATTTTATTCTCCCTGATGTAATTCAATAATAAAAAAAATGTAATACAAAAATTTGCAGGTAATAGCATATTAGTTAATTACATTATTAATAAAAAAAGACAGAATTGTAAATTTTAAAAAGTAAATACTACAATTAAGGCTTCACTAAAATCTAAGAATAAAAACATATGTAAGCGATGAATATTTAATCGTTCACCTTGAAGACATATTTTGTTGCACTTTTTCAGGCACTTCTAATAAATGGAAGAGGACAGTTTAATTGTTCTCTTGCAACTAAATTTATGAACAACACAGTACCCCAGTGCCATTTTAAGGGTGGTGAAGAATGTGCACCTCAGATTCTTCATGTGGAGCCAAACAAGACTTACAGGATCAGAATTGCAAGTACCACTTCCTTAGCATCCCTCAACTTGGCAATTTCAGTAAGTTCTAATTCATTGTCTCTTTCTTTTGTTTATGACAATTACCTTTTCCCATTTCAAATATATTTATTTGAGAGTTTTTGTTAACCTTAGCTCTCTAAAGGTCAAAAATAAATAATCAATAATAATAAAATTTTATTAGAAATAAAAATATTTATTATATTTTTATAATTTTAATACAATAAATATGTATTTTTTTTATAAATTTTTTTATTTATGAATGTTTAAATTCAACCCTAAGAATTGAAATTAACAAAACTTTTTATTTAAAATACAAAATTTATCTTCTATTCTCTTTTTCTCTAAAATTCTCCTTCTCAAATAACTCTATTTTACTTTTTTCTCCTCTTGCAGAAGAGAAAGGAAAATAAATGTTCAAATTAAAATATAATAGAGATAGTTGGAAGTTTGCTAATTTGTTTATATATAAAATATTAATTTTAGACTTAATGTTGAGTAAATAAAATAATTTTTTATTAAAATTATTGATTACTGACATGTATGTAAATTTATAATAAATAATTTTTTATAAACTTTATTTTTGCTAATAGAAGCATTATTTTATTCGTGAGAGATTATTTTAAGTGTTGGTACAATAAGAGAGTGTCTAGATACAAGAGAAGGCTGGATAAGCATGTGAGACACAAGGACGTGGCCTTCGATGACCTCAATATTATTATTATTATATAGTGGGTGATAAAATAAGGTATATTTATATAACAAAATCATATAATATATCTGACATTTATATATTTTTTTTTGTTTTTCTTTTTATTTCTCTTATGTGTATGAATTATTGTATATATTTGTCCGAATACAAGTTTTTAAAAACAAAATTTACATAAAATTTATCTTATCATGATTATAACAAAATGAGTGAAAACAAAATAAATCCATGCAAACATGTGCTTAATTTCACCAACTCCATTCTCGATAATCTTGGTGATTGAGCTTATAATCACTTTATTATATAATTAATTTTATTATCATTTTACCGTATATTTATGAAGTAAGATTTTTTAACATAAGTATAAGTCTAAAACTTTTATATTTAATTTATATTTAACGAATTATAATTTATTATTTTATTGAGTGTTAAATATAACTAAAATAAAAAATTTAAATAATTTTTAAATTTATACTAACACAAGAATATTTTATGTATTCATTCTTTATTAATTAATCATACCCTGTAATTTCTTTGTTACGTAGAATCACAAACTGGTTGTAGTAGAAGCAGATGGAAACTACGTGCAACCATTCGCAGTCAATGGCATAGACATCCACTCTGGTGAGAGCTACTCAGTGCTCCTCACCACAAATCAAAACCCAAAGAAAAACTATTGGCTTTCAATTGGCGTTATAGGAAGAAAACCCAAAACCCCACAAGGCCTAACCATTCTAAACTACAAGACCATCTCTGCCTCAATTTTGCCAACTTCACCACCACCCATCACACCCTTATGGAATGATTTTAAGCGTAGCAAAGCATTCACCAATAAAATCATTGCCAAAATGGGAACCCCACAACCTCCAAAATTCTCTCACCGCAAGATTTTCCTCCTCAACACACAAAACCTAGTTGATGGGTTCACCAAATGGGCCATTAACAATGTGTCCTTATCATTGCCTCCAACACCTTACTTAGGATCCATGAAGTTTAAGCTAAACAATGCCTTTGACCAAAAGCCTCCTCCAAACAACTTCCCACAACAATATGACATCTTCAACCCTCCTATGAACCCCAATGCAACTATTGGTAATGGGGTGTACATGTTTAACCTCAATGAGGTTGTTGATGTGATATTACAAAATGCAAACCGCTTAAATGGAATTGATAGTGAGATTCACCCTTGGCATTTGCATGGTCATGATTTTTGGATTTTGGGATATGGAGATGGAAAATTCAAGCAAGGTGATGAGAAGAAATTCAATTTGACACATGCACCCTTAAGGAACACTGCAATCATATTTCCTTATGGTTGGACTGCCCTAAGGTTTAGGGCAGATAACCCTGGAGTTTGGGCCTTCCATTGCCAAATTGAGCCTCATTTGCATATGGGTATGGGTGTGATCTTTGCTGAGGGTGTTCACAAAGTGAAGAGAATACCACCAGAAGCTCTTACTTGTGGCCTTACAGCCAAAATGCTCTTTGACAAGGGACACTATTGAAGCCTAGCTGTTTATGTTAAGAGCAGCTTTTGGTCTTTCTTCTCATTGAGTGTCATTTGGTATTTGGTCTCCTATCATTGTCCTAGACTTTAGATAAGAAGAGGCTACAAATGTTTTATTAAAAACAAATATTTGAGTGATCACTAACTTTATTTTAAAAAATTGGAAAATATTTTTCAAAACTTATCCTTAAAAATGATATTTGATTTGAAAGATTAGTTATGCGTAGAAAAGATATAAACCAAATTTTATTGCACTCTGAATATGCACATTAAAAATATTTACCTTATATTCAATTGTGCAATTCTTAAAAATAAAAAGAAATATATTTTACTCAATTTTAAACAAAATAAAATTAATCAAGATAAAATGAATTAAAACAAAAATATTATTTACAAAGAAAACAAGATAGGAAAAATTAATTTTGAATTAATTTGACAACAGGACTCCTAGTCTCACGAATTTTTTAATGCAGAAATTTTTTTTTGAACTAGTTTATTTTAATTATAAAATTATTCTTAAAATAATTCAATGGTGTATACAGTTTAATTAGTATAATTCACTTAAAAAAAATCTTTCAATCTAAGTTATATTTGAAGATAATGTTCATTATTTAGTCACTATACACGATTCATTGTTGAATGAATTGAAATTAGGAAAATATTAAAATTGGAAAATGTCCAAGAGGAGAAAGAGTTATTTCAATATTTATAAGATAATGAAATAGACTTTGCTCATGATTTAACTTAATATAAACCTAATAAATAAATTTTATAATTTAAATAACAGTGATGGTAGTATTCACTATAATCTTTATCATTAGTCATTGTGTGAATACGAAAAATATATTTTAAACTAACTTAATTAATTATATTTTTATATTTAATATTTTATATTTTAATAAAAAAATATTTTAGCAACAGTTTATTTTATTTTTAATCTTATATTTTTTTTAATTTTTATTTTTAACATTTTCTTTGACTGATGTAAATCAATCAAAATTTTCTTTGACTGATGTTAAAAATAAAACAATGTTATAATAGAAAAATTGACACATAAAAAATAATACATTAATTTTAATTAAGCTCCTCTTTTATAGCAAAATAATTTGTTTTATTTTATATTTTCAGCAGCTCATAAATGTTATAAAATTCATACTTTTTTATACATGAATTTTTTTTGAAACAATTATAAGATAAGGTAATATAATTTAAAATTTCATATTCCAAATTTAAAGAGGTAATTACAACTCACATTAAGTCAGCAGAATGGAGCTATGAACATCGGATAAGATAATATAATTTAAAATTTCATATTTCAAATTTAAAGAGATAATTACAACTCACCCTAAGTTATGAGCATGGAGGGAGACTGTGTAATACTAAAATTATATTAGAGTGTGGAGTCTATGTCAGTTAACTATATATATATATATAAAATAAAAAAAATACTATCTTCACTATTATAACTATAATACCTTCTCCTTCAAATACTAAACTAAATAACAGCAATTGTGTGTAATTGTTGGAAATACTAATATAAAAATTGCAGTGATTATTTAGTGGTAGTTTTAAATTACTGGTAAATTTTTAAATTTAAATGTCAAAAACTGAATACACGGTAGAGAACATTGTTTTATTTGAGAAATACATTGTTTATAGGCGGTAGTCAAATAATCTTTCCTTTAACATCTAAGCTCAATAGTAATGACAGACTCAATGTTAGAATGATACTTATTTTCTACAATAAGGGACATTTTCAAAATCCAAGATAAGGATCTTCATGTTATGGCTCTGGAGACACTTGTCATGTGGAGTTATTTTTTCCTTACTAATAGCTCTAGCCATTACTCTATCAGCAACATCTTTCAAAAGTGAACAATCAAACTTTCTATGAGAATGCAAGTTGCTTCCTTTCTCATTTGGAAAGAAATGTAGCTTTGGAAAGATGTGGTACCAAGAGATTATTCTATTTGTTCCTTATTTTTTTCAGTGATTATTTTGAATTAATGTTAAATTCTTTAATCAATGTTAAAATTTATCGGTAATTACATAAAATTATTATTTAATTCTTTATTTGTACTGGCAGCTATCTCAAATCAATGTTAAAATTTGTATATTTATCGGCAATTACATAAAACTAACATTAAATTTATTGTTTTTATTGGCAATTATCTCAAACCAACATTAAAAATTATCTATTTGTTAGTTATATAAAATCAACATTAAACTCTCTATTTCTATCAAAGATCATCTCAAATCGACATTAAACTTCTTATTTTTACTGGTAGTTGCTAAAATCAACATTAAATATTATTTTTTAAGTGTTTTACTAGTAATTATTGGTAATTACCATCAATGAACCGATGTTAAATGTTACAATTCTTATGGTAGATGAAATGTAAAGTTATTCTTATCAATTTTCAAATTATATTTAGATTTTATTTTGTTAGAACAATTGATGCATAATTGCTCTTTAAAGTAAATTTTAAAAAATAATAATACACAAGTCAACATGAAAAAGTAAGTGCATGACAATAACTTTACAAATGAATATTAAAAATTAACTATATTGTAACCACTTTCCAAGTAAATATTTGTTAAACAATCATCCTATTATGCTACATAAATAATCATTCTAAAAAAAATAAATTATACAATAATTTATGGTTAATAAATAAAATATAATAATTATTAATTAATACTCTAAAATTAGTAAAAAATAAAAAATATAATTTTTTTTATTAAAAGTGTTATTATTTATTTTTATTGACCATGATTCTTTAATAAAACTAGTACTCTCAACTTGCTTTATATATATATATATAATATCTTTTATTCAATTCCTTTATAATATATTTTGAAAAATAGTTAATGTTATCTTTAAAATATTTAAATAAAAAACATAAACATAACTTTCTTCAAGTAGACAATTAAAATAAAAATTTTAAAATATTATTTATAATTTAACTAGTAGTTTCAAATTTAAATCTAAAAATATAACCATGTTAAAATTTAATTAAAAATAATTAATTTTAATAATTATATCCGCTACAAACTAGAATAAAATGAATGAAGCTCAGAAATAGCTTGAGAAATACATTTCATCGTTGCATCATGTTTTTGGATGATTAAAATGTGTAATATATGTATATATATATATATATATATATATATTATTTTATTTTTGTTAGAATATAGTAAAAATTTAACTTAATATAACAAAATACTTTGACATATTTAGGCATATTAAAATAAATTTATATAATAAATGTATTTATGATAATTAAAGTTTTGTGTTTATTATTAAATATGATATAAAATTAATTAATATAAATTTAAAAAAATTACTTTATTCTATTAATTTTTATTCAATATATTATGTAAAATTAAAAATATTTAATTATCTCTGATACGATTAAACTAATAATATTTACAGAGAATATTCGAGGAGCGTAAGAAAAAGTTAGATATGTAGGCCCATTCAAATAGTAAACAAAGCTTATTTACCAATTGCCAGCAATCACTTTACGTCTCAAATAGTAAAACTTGGGTAAAGGCAAACGCAGCCATTTAAACAGTCGAAAAGTACACAAATATTAAGATGCTCTTTTAATATTTATTTAACATTTTTTATATATAAAAGTTGACATTGTTAAACACGTGTATCAATTAATACAAAACTATTTTAAATTTTAAAAAAAACTTATAATTTTGAAATTTTTTTGATAATATAAATTACTTAAAAGATTATTAAAATAATAATAATTCAAAGTAGTTTATTCTAACAAATTATATGACAAAATTTACAAAAATCAAAAGTTATCTATATATAACTTTTATAAATTCTTTAAAATGTGCATAATCCTATATTAAGTTTAAGAAAATAAAATAACATAATAAAAAAAATTTAAATAAAAATTATTTTTTAAAAATTAGCTTCATTCGTCTATATCTATTTAAGCAGAGAAAAAATATTTTTTATTTACAAAAATTTTAAGATAATATTAAAATTAATTTTTTTACTAAACCTTTTTCGCTATGTAAGAATTCTAAACATAATAAAAAGTATTTACTCTAATTTGATAGCTTAAATGTTAAAAAAATTCATTAATAAAAGATAAATTAAAATAATTATTAATTAATTATCATACAAATAAATAAAATAAAAATGTTTTTAATGTTGTTATTTATAGTTTTAATTCATCATTTTCTTTGTTCTCTTAGCAAAAAGCAAAAAAAGTGAACATGAATAAAATGGAATTGTTAACCTTAATTTTTAATATTGTATTTAAACATGGAAAAGCTAATTTTTTTTAAAAATATTTATTATATTTTTACATTTCTATATACTATTTTGTTAATAAAAATAATATTTTTAAACTCAACTCTAGCAATTGATTGATTAATAAAAGAATAAAATTTAAAATACAATATTATAATTATTATTGTTTCTTAATTAAAATTAAATTTTTATTTTAATATATTATTGTTGTTGTTTTACGTTAAAGTCAGTATGGCAAGTATAATATTATAATTATTATTAAGATTATTTGACTTTATTATATCAATTATTGTGACAGAAATTTAATTTTAATCCAGAACGATACCAATAATTAAGTTTTGTCCTGCACAAAATCGTATGATAAAAAATCAAAGAGAAAAAAAAAAAAAACAGATTGGTGAAAGAAATATAATAATAATGTTAGATAATTCACCACAGCACATTAACGTTCACCTACAACTACTCTTCACTTTCTGAAACCAATAAATTCAGGATAAACTTCAACTCTCTCTCTCTCTTCCCTCCCTCTCTCTCTCTCTCTCTCCATGTTCACCCTTTTCTGTTCAACGCAACCCTTCTCCTTCTTTTTCTTTTCCTAATTGACTCGTGCCCACCACAGTTGATGACCCATCTCTGGATCTTCTCGTAAGCTTCTATCGATTTTATTTTTTTGCATACCCTCTCCACTGTTCAACTATCCGGTTCACGGGCCTGTGTTGTTTTGTGGCTCGGGTTGGTGATGATTTCACTACCCTTTTGATCTGTGATTGTAAAGTTTATGTCTTTTCTTTCCATGTTGGAAGTTTTCTCTTTTCTTAGCTTGCTGAAGTTGAAAAATAGCAAGTTCCTTCATCAATTTATCTAATGTTTATGTTTTTTCTTCTACCTTAAATTTGCATTTTTTTTTATGATTGGTTGGAGAGGGTTCTTTTTGAATCACTAGTGATGATGATGTTGCTTGTCTTTCATGTTCGGTTCGTGGGTGGATTTGATCTGTGAAATCAGGATAGCTCTGATCTAGTAGTTTGTGGGTATTGAGAAATTTAATCCTTGTAATTGGAAGTTTTAAGTTTATCTGTGATAATTTACCAATTTGTGATGTTTTTTTAATATATGTTTTTTCTTATTAGCTTGTATTGCTGTTGCTGGATCTTAATGGAAAAGATCTCTAGTTTTGAAACTTTGGCTGGTTAATGACTTTTGTACCTTTTGAAAGTGTATATTTTCTGATCTTGAGATTCTTTTCATTTAAATACGTATTTGATTTTTTGTACCTTGTTAATTTATCGTTGTTTTATTGCTGTTGACAGGTGACAAGGCCTTTAAACGTTAGAGTTTGATAGCTTGAACTTGTGCATAGTGCTAGAGGGTGAAGTTTGAAACCTGGCTTTCTACTTTCATCATCGGAAGCTTGTAGGTTGGATCCATAATTTTCTGTAACATTTAGGCTATCTTTGGGGCTAATTTTCAGTGTGAAATGATGATGATTTTCGATGAGATGGAGCTTTGTGGTGATTTGGATATGTTATCTGCTCCTCTTGGGGAAGGGGATATTACCGCCCGGCAAACTGAGCCAGAGGCGATAGTTGAGGATGATTATAGTGATGAAGAAACTGATGTAGATGAGCTTGAGAGGAAGATGTGGAGGTATAAAATGCGTCTCAAGCGACGTAAGGAACAAAGTAAATCTAAGGAAGGAATTGATGCAGTGAAGCAGAGACAGTCCCAAGAACAGGCAAGGAGGAAAAAAATGTCAAGGGCTCAAGATGGAATCTTGAAGTATATGCTGAAGATGATGGAGGTTTGCAAGGCCCAGGGATTCGTTTATGGGATCATTCCTGAGAAGGGAAAGCCTGTGACTGGGGCATCTGATAACCTTCGTGAATGGTGGAAGGATAAAGTCAGGTTTGATCGAAATGGTCCAGCTGCTATAGCCAAGTATCAAGCTGAGAATGCAATCCCAGGGAAGAATGATGGATGTAATTCCATCGGTCCAACACCACACACCTTGCAAGAGCTGCAGGACACAACCTTGGGTTCTCTGTTATCAGCACTCATGCAGCACTGTGATCCTCCACAAAGGCGGTTTCCATTGGAGAAGGGCATTTCTCCACCATGGTGGCCTACTGGGAATGAAGACTGGTGGCCCCAAATTGGTTTACCTAAAGATCAAAGTCCTCCACCTTACAAGAAACCTCATGACCTGAAAAAGGCATGGAAAGTTGGTGTTCTGACTGCAGTAATCAAGCACATGTCTCCTGATATTACCAAAATTCGCAAGCTTGTGAGGCAGTCCAAATGCCTTCAAGATAAAATGACAGCAAAGGAAAGTGCAACCTGGCTTGCAATCATCAATCAAGAGGAGGCGTTGGCACGAGAGCTCTACCCTGATTATTGTCCCCCATTAGCCTCTGCGGGAGGTAGTGGATCAATGCTCATCAATGATTGCAATGAGTATGATGTTGAAGGGAGAGACGATGAGCCAAACTTTGATGTGGAAGACCGGAAACATGAAAATCTTCATTCATCCAATTTTGGTATGGAGAGAATGAGAGGACGAATGCCGGTTCAGCAGCCTTCTTTCCCAAACAAGGGAGAGGCTGTTACCAATTTGGATTTTATTCGTAAGAGGAAGATCTCTAGTGACTTCAACATGATGATGGATCAGAAAATTTACACATGTGAACATCCTCAGTGCCCATACAGTGAAGTTCGCCTCGCTTTCCCTGACAGAAATTCTAGGGACAACCATCAATTGAATTGTCCATATAGAGGCACTTCAGATTATGGTGGTCCAAATTTTCATGTTAATGAGGTAAAACCAGTCATATTCCCCCAGTCCTTTGTTCAACCTAAATCTACTGCTCAGTCTGTTAACTTGGTTCCACCTACAATTGATCTAACCGGACTTGGAGTTCCAGAAGATGGCCAGAAAATGATCAATGACCTTATGACTGTCTATGATACAAATGTGCAAGGCAACAAGAACATAAGTTCCAATAACCATTTAGCTGCAGAAAATCCAAACCTTCCTCAGCCAGGAATTCAGCAGCAACATGACAACTTCTTTCGCGGTCAAGGAATCACCATGGAAGGAAACTTCTTTCAAGAAGCGAACATGTCCAATAATCATCACATGTTTGCTAGAGAGGAAGGTCAATTTGACCGGTTCAAAGCTTTGAATTCACCCTTTGAGACCAATCACACCACCGCCACCAATAACAATAACTTCCATTTAATTTTTGGGTCCCCTTGTGATTTGGCACCCTTTGATTTTAAGGAGGATATGCAAGGTGTAGGGATGGATGCTCTTCAGAAGCAGCCAGATATTTCAATATGGTACCAGTGAAAATGACAAGTGGAATCTGTGAACTCATCATCCACAATGGACTCTTGTTTTCTTTCAAAAAGAGTTGGCACTTGGCACCCTTGATCATGTGAAGTTCATCCAGCCAAAATGGTTTTTCTGTAATTTTCTTCACATGCCATCCTGTAGGTCTAGAAGTCTAGAACTAAATATTTTATGCTTGGCAGGTCTGGTATGGGTTAATAATATATATAATAAAAAACTTGTATGTTCCCATTATGTAGCCCTGTGATTGTGTGATTTTATCAGTGTAACCTTGTTAGTTAATATTATTACATGTAAGAATGTGATATAAATAAGATTTGAACTCTCTTCTGAATTTTTGCCACTCCATATGATCAAGAAACTAATAACATGTTTAGATTTATGGATAATACAAATTTTATTAATGTGGTTTGGTGTTTAAATTGTGGATAGATGAAAGGTTTGTCCTTTATTGTATTTTTATCTTATGCTTATCCTTTCCCATGTGAAATGGTCCCCAGAACAAAGTTGAATTCCTTCTGGATTGCGTGTTCAGCTTGTAAGGTGGGGTCCCATTTTTGAAAGAGCACATTGTTCACATCTTTTATTGAGTCACTGGTCAAATAATTAGCAAAGGGTTTCATTGTTCATGACCATTGAAAGTGCCTATTCTTGGGATAGCGAAACTGTGAAAGTGCCATCTCATTACTGGCCAAGGCGGCTCAACATTTTGGTGCAAGTTTACCATTTGCAATTTCTTTTTTTTTTTTGCATATTTAAAGATGTAATAAAAAAATTTGTGTAGTAAGTCTTTATTAGAAGTTATAGGATATTATAAAATTTAATGTATTTAAAATATTAAATATATATATTTTATGTTTTTGGGCATGTGTTGAAAAACGATTTTATTAACTTAGTTTTAATAGTTTAAGTATTAAAAAGTAATAATTTTTAATAGAGGAATGTTATTTTTAAGTCGAATAAATATTTTTATATTCAAGTTTAATTATAGTTAGTTGCTTAAATTTAAAGTTAAATATTGAAGTTAGTATTATTTTGAAAAAATATTGCTGAATATTCTTTTAAGCCTAAATATTGCTGTATTTTCTTACATGTTTTTTTAGTAATTTTCTTACTATTTTATAAATTAAGTATTGAATATTCTTTTGTATTGAAAATATTAAAATCATTTCACAATTTCTCTTATTTAAAAATTAGAAAGACTCTAAAAATGCATAAAATAACTTCCAAACTTTATTGGTTGAAAATGTGCCGTAGATAATATTAGCACGTGTTGAAAAATTGCAAAGGAGCAAGAGACTCATTGACTGAATCATTAAGTTTGAAAAGCAAAATGTTACCAAGTCTCACACTAGTTAAAAAATTAATAAATAAATATGCTGATTGAAACTATGATGATATTATATTTTACTTTTGATTCTGAAACGGTCAATGTCATAAGAACATTTATTTTTTTTTAAAAAAGGTAAGCAGTTTTTTAGTTTTAATATTTTTATTTAGACTAAGAAATTAGTAAAAAATTTTACTACATAAAATAAATACTAAACCAAAAAATTATATTTATTTATTATAGAAAAACATAAAAATTATTAATTTATTTTTTTAATAATTAAGAAAATTTATAAGCATCAATCATAAAAAAAATTAAGAATTAGTCTCACAAAGCCAAAATAATGAGAAACCTCACAAGACTAAAAATGAAAAAAGTACTGCAGAAAGCGTTTTATTCTTCACACACACATTATATTTTAATTGTGATTTTCAATTCTTAAATATGAACATTTTAAAGTGTTGTTTTAATTAAGAATAATTTTTAAAAATCATTCTTTCTTTTTTCGTCATTTTTTTAATTAAACATATATTTTTTTATTCAATTTTAATTTGAATTATGAATATTTCACAACTTATTTTTAATTTAAAATTTTTTGTCTTTAATTAATGTGATAAAATATTTATTATTATTATTATTATTAAAAATATTTATTTTAAAAATTTATAAAATTGATTTATGTAAATTAATCATGTAATTTTTATTTAAAAGTTGTTTTATTTTAATAATATTTGTAAAATGGAGGGATAACTCACTAGTTTAGTGGTAAAGTTGAAATCAGAAGAAGATTTTGGTAGAAATTAAAAATTTTGGACAATAAACCCAGAATTGAGCAGTCTGTGTTAAAGTTATGAATATCTAAGAACAAAAAGGCAATAAAATATTAAAATTAGAATAAATATTCAATTTGTTTGTAATTTGTATTGCTTGTTCACTCTGTCAACCTTAAGCTTATTGTACTTTTTTATATTTAAAAAATAAATTAGTTGATGCAAATTACAGTAATAATAGCATCAACAGCTGACGCTTCAGTTACATTATGGAACTTATAGTGACCAGATGATTTGTTTCATAGCACTTTATAAAAAGGGTTGCAGTTATGCTTTTTGCTCATTGTGGGTGGTTGGATCGTTGCCTTTCTGTGCATTTATTTATTATTTTTGTTTTGTCCTCTGTGTACTGAGTAATAATATTCACACGGGTATGATAATAATAATTAAAATTTTATTTATATTTTAAAACTTTAAATCATTTATGATAAGTTTTTTTTTATATATGGCTTTTTTTAATTTTAAAAATAAGATTTTTGACAAAATTATAAAAATATAATTTCTTTAAAAATCGTCATTACCAAATTTTGATAAAAACTACCAACAAAAACTTTATTATTTTTTCAATTTTTTATCTTTAAATTTCTTTACTGCACCAAAAAATTGTTATTGACGATTTTTAAATTTCGTATTTTATAATTTTAAAAAAAATCATATAAAAAAGAGCCTTTATGATAACCCATATTAATGTTAATGTGATTTTCACAGCTATATTGCACTCCCTTTTTTTTTATTATTTGGTATTTATGATAGTATCTTTTAAATCATTTATTTATTAAAAATAATAAAAATAGTAATATATTATAATTTTATAGTTATTTTTAAAATATCTATAATAATACATAGTAAAATTAGTTACTCATATATTCACTTATATAAATAATGTATGTATGTATATATTAAGTGGAATGAAGTTTTAGATTATGGGAGACACATAAAATAAGCAAACAAACACTTAAAGTATGTTTTAAAAATAGTTTTCTATTTTTAATATACAAATTTTATTTTTAAAAATAGAAAACTGTTTTTAAAAAGAAAAATAAACACTCCTTTAGACTTCCAGTGAGCTTTATTTAAATGTCAACAATTTAAAATTTGAATTTGACATTTTTTAAAAGAAAATTAATTTTAAATTCTCTTAATTTTAGTTTTTATAAAAAAATATAAAATATAATAATATTATTTATATAATTAAATTTTCTATTACACTTCCTTTTCAGTATTAAACAACTAAATAAGAGAGATGTTTAACATTTTTCTCCTTTCTTCTTTTTTCTCTAAACTTTTAAACAAAGTTTTAGTATTAATTTTTATAAATTTGAAATTATTAGGCAAAAAAATTAATTATCTTTATAAATATTTAAAATAATAAATATATTCAATTTGTATTTAATATTTATTTCATAAAAAATTATTACAAATATATAAGAAAGGATATGACTAAACTTGTAAAAAATTTATCCAATCATCACTGCTGAGTCCTGTTCAAAGATAAGTCTCACAGCTATATTCGCTTGGAAAAAACAAAAAAAGATTGATAAGATGCAGGAAGGACAGGTTCTTGTTCTCAATCTTAAAGGACATTTAGGATCACCCCTTTTGGTCTTTGAGTCATTGCAAAGGACAAACCTTTTTAAGGCACAAGTCCTACACCTCTGTTTCAAGTAGCAATTCTGACAATGGAACATGCAGGGTCCTTGTATGCTGTTTCTAAGCATCTCTAAGTGCAAGCACCTGGACACTTTGCAACATATTTTATCAATTCCACAAAAACCAAACACCATCATTTTGTCCACAAGCATGCATGAAGATATGTTAAATTAATTGAAACTACTTATTGATAAAACTATATTTCAAATATAAAATAAAATAAATCATATCAAATGCAGAAACATTTTTTCTTAAATATTATTTTTTTATTCTTTTTATAAAAAATAAAATAATGTATTTTTTATTTTAATTAAAAGAAACATAAGATAAATTTAAGATGTATTAGTTGTTAATTTTTTTATATTTTTTTATTAGTATCATTAAATATAACTATTTAGTATTATGAGTATTTTAGAATAAAATTTATTTATAAAGAATATAAATAATTTAATTATTTTTTTAATTCTAGTAATTTAATATTTTGTTTCTTATAAAAAGGATTAGAGAGTGTCTTTGTTTCTATTTATTTGTTTAGAGGGAAAAAATTACATAGACTAAAGAGTTTAATAATTTTATTATAATAAATTATTAAATTTTATAATTTATTATTTATTAGTAGAAAAGTAAAAATTAATAATTTCTTGAACTTCTACATAAATAAATAAAATTTTCTTGACAGATACATAGTTTATAATAATAGTAATAAAAGAAAGATGAGCTCAATAATTTAGAGCAGTGTTTGACTTTATGGTACATGTCTTCATATATGAGACTGAATGCCCTCATTGACTAAAATTATATTCATTGTGATTGGTACTTAAGGATCTGATGCAGCACACCAAGAAAACTAAATTGAGATCCCTAGTCTTTGCTTTTGTCCTTGTTTTACTTAAATATAAAGGAAGACAACAACATAGCTGGCCATATGGTTTTCTTTTGGTGTTTCTGCAAAATATCAGAAATATAATTCAAAGTTAGATATCTTATCCTTATGAAAAAAGTAGAAAGCACCAGAGTTTTTTTCCCATTTTTGTTATCAACATGGTTGTGTATAGTAAAGATCTTGATAAGTTTAACCTTTGTTAATTAGAAAATACAAAAAATCAAACTTTCATTTGATAGTGCTTTTTTTCATCAAAATTGTTGTAACCACATAGCACAATTATGCGTATGATTCCATCTAAATTTAGCATAAACTGAAGTGGGGCATACTATACCTGATATACTGAAAAATATGAGCAACTTTCATTGTCAGCATTGCTACTCCGTCTTGATGCAGCCCACCTTTCCCTATAATTATAATATATATATATATATATATATACATGCATGCACAAAATCAAAAGACAGTGTTAAATTTAATAAAATATTTTTTCATAAGAAATATATTTTGGTGATTCAATCATTGACTTTGTTATTAGAAGTTATGTTGCATTAATAAAATAAAAACATTTTTAATTTTTCTACCTTTTATTATTATAAATCGTAATTATTTAATAAGAAACTATTAAACATTTTTCATATTTTTAGGAAAATACATATATATATATATTATTTAATATTTACTCTATGAAAATATAGTAAAATTATTATAAGAATAC